TTAAGTATATTTCTTAGATTATAAAGCAAATATATGCTTATTTTAAAAACATTTCAAAGGTGTGTAATTATAAAATAGAATTTGAATTATTGATCTTTGAAAGAAAACTGGTTTTAAAATAATTTTTCTCCGGTAGAAATGAAGACTGACCTGAATTTACTGTTAGAATGTCTGAAGTATCACATGGGCAACCCTTTGTCACAAAAGGAAGTTTTGATCACTATTCATTCAGTTTGTCAACAAAACAGTAAGACATAATAATGAACTTTATTCATAATTCTATTATTTTTCTTTTTTCTTTTCCTTTCTCTTTTTCTCCTTCCCTCTCTCCATCTCTCTCTTTCTGTCTATGCCTCCCTCTCCCTCTCTTCTTCCTCTCTTTCTTTCATCTCATTTCCTGAAGTAACTACACAGGCTGGTCTCTAATTCTTGATCCTCCTGTCAGTCTCCCCAGCATTGGGACTGCACGAATGTACCACCACAACCCATGGCCTACTCTGATTCCAGTTTTGTACTACTGTAATATACTAATATGCATGGCTGTGTCTCTCTACTTAATGTATGTTATATTACTTTATCCATTTGATTTTCTTATCCTTAACAGAATAATCAAAGTAATTTTAATGTCTATCTTGTTTTATCTGCAAATCCTACAGGTGATGCAGGTGTTTATTTCCGGGAAATTGGTGGTTTGATGTTTGTAAAAAATCTTGCAAAATCAAGTGAGCATAGCTTGGTAAAAGAAGCAGCCTTATACACATTAGGATCTATTGCAGAAGAAAATGGTAAAATATAAAATTTTATTTTTATGTCCTTAATTTAAAATATTTAAAATGTTTTCTCTTTACTTAAAGGTGAATGCCACCACACCTGGCTTGACTCTTATTTTTTAGGGTTATTTTGTTTGTTTCCAGTGGAGTTCTTTTTTCTTTTTTGAGTCAGGGTTACTATAAAGCACAGGCTGGCCTTGAATGCAAAGTTCTCCTGTTTTGCTTCCTAAGTATTGGGATTGCAACATGCTTATTGTTACTTTTGAGCTCGGAAGATTTTGCACCTCTAAAAGTCTTCATAAATATCATAGATATTGCCTGACCCTCTGTTTTCCAAAGTAGATATCTGAATTTTTTAAAGTTTTTTTCTTGCTTTGTTTTTTGCTAGTTTTCTCACTTGGTCTCATTTTTTACTTTACTTGGTCTGATTTGCATTTTTTTTTATTTGGTTAGGATTTTATTGGCAATTCTAGAGTATTTTAATGTTTGCTTTGGAGCTTAGACCAAGTCATTTTGATTAAGATAGTGTTGATTTGCGACTGGCTGCCTGGCTCAGTAGTTAAAGGTGCTTGTCTAAGTTTGATGTATGGAACTCATATGAAGGAAAGAGAGAACTAACTCCCATAAGTTAGTTGTGCTTTGACCCATAAGAGCATTGTGGCATGTCTGCACCTGTGGGTGGGCACATACGCTCATGCATGTGTGCATGCACACAAGTAAATAAATAAATGTAATTTAAAAAAATTTTTAAGGGGTGCTGGAGAGATGGCTCAGTGGTTAAGAGCACTGACTACTCTTTCAGAGGACCGGTGTTCTACTCCCAGCAACCGTATGGCAGCAACTGTCTGTGACTACAGTTGCAGAGGACCCAACACCTATGGCAAAACACCAATGCATATAGAATAAATAAAAAATTTTTTAAAATTGCTCATTTGGTTTGTTAAGCACATATCATGTTTTCATAAATTTTATTGTTTCTAATATATGACAGTTAAATTACATCTAGTTAAGAAGCATCCCTATTTCAACAACTTTGTATTTTGGTGCTAATATATTAAAATGAAAATTGTATTTTATGTTTCAGTTTACTGTCAGCAAACTTTGTGTACTTCAGAATTATTTCAAGATTTAATTTTGCTCTTATCTAATGATGATTCAAACACAAATTTGAAAAGAATGTCCATCTATGTTCTTTTGGTTCTGGTTTCAAATAATAGTAAGTATGTTCTCTAATGAATGTTTAAAATATTTTATTAAATTTTATGGAATAGTCACTAATACTTTTATTCTAGCCATTGTTATATAGGTGCCTTTATTTTTTTTTAGACAGTTTCACTATGTAGACTATGGAGATCCACCTGCCTCTGCTTCCCAAATGTATTAGTGACTTTCTAATCTCATTAATATGCAAGAGATACTAAGGAAGGAATTAATAGTATATGGTAATCACTTGATATTTATTAGTTTTAAGAAATAGTAAAGTGATTTGTACTACTTAATCTTTAAAAAGAAAACAAATATTTAATTGTTTGACTTTTCACTGAACTGATCATTTTGTTATAAGATTTACTGTACTATACCCCAATGGCATTTATCTTGAGATAACTTTAGATTTATTGAAAAGCTGAAAATGTAGTATAAGTGTCCATGTGTACCTGTTAGGACTTTGCGTGTGTATGTTTGTACATATGCATGTAGAGTGTGCTTGGTGCAGAAGCTGGAGATTGATATGGGATATCTCCCTCAATCAGTTTCCACCTCTTGTTTTTGAGACAGGGTCTCTCACTGAATCTGACTAGACTGACTGCCCAGCAAGCCCCAGGGATCAAACACAATGTACTGTGCCTGGCTTTTTATTTTTTTTTTTTTACATGAGTGCTGAGGATCAAACTCAGTTCCTTATGCTGCCACTTTACTGACTGATCAATCTACCCAACCTCTTCATTTTTTAAAAACTTCCTTCATATAATTCTTGAAATTGTTAAGTACTTGAATTGCTTCGAGGTTGTTTTTTCTACTTTGGAAAACCTGAAAAAGATTTGTATTTTTTTCTACTTTGGAGATTCTTTTCATATAGTAACAGAACTATAACTAAAGCATTTTATAATTTTTAGAGGAAAAACAAAGCTATAAATTGCTAAGCATAGTATATTTTCCATAATAAAACTGGTTGTAGAGTTTTTTTAAAAAATCAAAATTTTATGTGTATGGATGTTTTGCCTATGTGTATATCTGTATACTAACTATGTGCATGCCTGGTACCCACAAAGACCATAAGAGGACATCAGATCCCTTGGAATTGGAGTTGTAAGTCACCATGTGGGTGCTGGGAATTGATCCCAGGTACTCTGGAAGAATAGAAAGTTCTCTTAAGTGCTGAGCCATCTCTCCAGCCCCTTGATTGTAGGTTTTCTTTTTTTCCTACTGTAATTCTGTATACTTTGTAATACTTTAAAGTAGCTTACAAGCTAATTAAAATATTTTAAATGTCTTAATTTTTACAAAATTATTTTTAAATAAAAGTTATATTCATGTAATATATGGCTATTTTTAAAGGGAATGGACAAACGCTTGTAAGAGAAACAGGTTGTATTGAAGTTCTGTCACAGTTGTTCAGGTAAGTAAAAAAATATCTTATTATTCATTGTTTAGGACATTAGTGCATTTATAATAATTTACTACCTTTTCTTTTTAATTCAATAGGACAGTTCTTTCAAATTATGAGTTGAATTTGTCAGATAATAATGTTTTCCAGAGTTATCTGTTGTGGTCTTCAGTGTGTAGTACTCTGTGTGTCTGTGTCAACAATCCTCAAAATGGTAATTATTTCAACTACTTAAATACAAATATGAAAACAAATGGTGACTGATATTCTGCAAAAGTCTAATTAAAACATGGTTGGCTTTCCTCCTTTCAGATGAGAATCAAATACTTTGTTGTTCACTTTTCCCATATGCTAATGAATGGCTAATGAATTGTATGAAACCTGAGATAATTCGCCCTATATGCTCATTTATTGGACTTACTCTTGCAAATAATAGTAAGTATTTATTATTTTCCAGGTTGTACATTAAGAACTGTATTTCAAAGCATAACAAAAACTATTAAACTCAATTAATGAGTTTGATGCTTCTAATTGTACCATTTTGGATGTATTTAGACTTGTTTTGTTTGAGAAAAGGTCTTACTGTATAGCCCTGGCTGGCCTGGAACTCACTATATAGACTAGGCTGGCTTCAAACAGATTCTGATCTTCCTCTGCCTTGAGTTCTTGGCTAGACTTTTGAAGATAAGACAATCTTGGAAGTAGATATTACTGGGAGGACATTGGAAAGATGCTTACAGCAGCATTTTTGTTTCTTGGGAGGTGGGGTTTGAGATGGTCTCCTGTAGCCCAGACTGGCTTATAGATCTCTCTGTATAACGAAAGATGACCTTGAGTTCATGATCCTTCTTCCATACTTCCTAAGTTCTGGAAATATAAATATGAACCACTATCCCTATCCTGCAATATAGTTTGTTTTTGTTTTAACCTTTCTAAATACCCTCATAAAACAGTGCAATGAAATAATGAAACTAAAACCCCACAGGATGTACAATTTAACCAAAATGGAATTAAATTAGAAATGAAAAAAAATTATGGGGTTATTGAGATGGCTCAGTCTGTAAAGGCTCTTCTCCTTCAATATGATGCAAGTCTGATGATCCTCAGAACCTACATTAAGGTGCAAAGAGAGAAATGACTCCACAAAATTGTTCTATGACCCCTATAGTGCATGTGCATGTATGTGTGTGTTTATACACACACAACTCCATTATAATAAATACAAATTTTTATATTTAATACTTATCCTTTTAAAAAAATTTAAAATATACCAAAATAAAAATATATAAGGTTAAAAACTATAACATCAGAGTTGGGCAAGACAAAGAAACAAGAAGAAATGAATCCAAGATAAGACACAAGAATCAGAGACCCACTTGGTTTCTTACTCAGGAATCCCATAAAAATGCTAAAGCCATAGTATATATTCAGAGGACCTAGTTCAGACCTGTGCATGCTGCCTCAGTTTCTGTGAGTACATATGAGCTTTGTTCATGTTAATTCAGAGGGCCTTGTTTTCTTGGTGTCCTCTATCCTTTGGATCTTATACTTTTTCTACTTCTTCTTCCTAGGGGTTTCTAGAGCCCTGAGGGGGAGGGATTTGGTAGAGAGATCCTGTTTAGGGCTGAGTATTCCAAAGTGTGTGTGTGTGTGTGTGTGTGTGTGTGTGTGTGTGTGTGT